CAAACATGGCCTGGGGACGTTGGTCAGAGAGCCAAACTTAATTTACTTAAATTAGTCACCGTTATTCCATCTTGATCTCAGATTTCATTTCATATATATATATATATATATATATATATATATATATATATATATATATATATATATATATATATATATATATATATATACATATATATATATGTCGTACCTAGTAGCCAGAACTCACTTCTCAGCCTACTATGCAAGGCCCGATTTGCCTAATAAGCCAAGTTTTCCTGAATTAATATATTTTCTCTAATTTTTTTCTTATGAAATGATAAAGCTACCCATTTCATTATGTATGAGGTCAATTGTTTTTTATTGGAGATAAAATTAAAGTAGATATCTGAAGGAACCTAACCAACCCTACCTAACCTATCTTTATAGGTTAGGTTAGGTTAGGTAGCCGAAAAAGTTAGGTTAGGTTAGGTTAGGTAGGTTAGGTCGTCGAAAAACAATTAATTCATGAAAACTTGGCTTATTAGGCAAATCAGGCCTTGCATAGTAGGCTGAGAAGTGAGTTCTGGCTACTAGGTACGACATATATATATATATATATATATATATATATATATATATATATATATATATATATATATATATGTATAGTATTCTCCATATCTCAGCTTTTAATTTGTCCTTATACTGTATTTCCATGTTCGTTATTCTTTTGTGTTTTCCCCCGAAAGGGCACTGCGTTGCTTTTAATCATAGAACCCCCTGGATTTACGTTTTCTGTATTACACGCAATCTGCTACATTTTCTTTTATTTTTTTTCTGGATTCTTGGGTACCCAAATATATTTCTATTACTGGTATTCTTACGTTTCCAATGTTTCGGATATGGATCACAGAACTAAAAAAAAGAATGAAAAATTCATCACCACCGAATATCCTTAAGGTTACCACATTTCTTATGTGTCTGCCATATTTCCATCTTTCCTTCATCTTGTACCAATGATCCAAATGTTGTCATCCGCATTTTGACCTTCTTCGGCCGTTCATACCGGATTCCTCGTATGGAATACCAATATTTATCTCGAGGCTATCTACTATCTACTAGAGCGCTACTATCTACTAGATAGTGGCCTCGACGGAGACAAGTAGCCAGCGTCTTGCCAAAGGTCCCCAATTTTTGTCTGAGACGTGAAAAGAACTTAATCTAAGAGGCAGCAAAGCCAACGATTGTCAAATTGAAGCGCTTCGCTGCGAGATGGGAGTCAGACACAAGGCCGCCATAAACAAAGGTAAGAATTGCCATGGGGGATCGTATAAGAAAGATTTACTTACGGAGATTTCATCTTTTTTACACCGAAAGCTTAGTGAGCATTCAGAAAAGTATCTCTCATGAGATTTAGAAGATGATATATTTTGTCGTGATCGTTATTGTGTATATGTGTATATGTGTGTATATATATATATATATATATATATATATATATATATATATATATATATATATATATGTATATATATATATATATATATATATATATTTTATTAAATATGACCGAAAAAGTAAGATTAATAATTCTAACACGAATTTTCTCAATCTTTCGTACATTATGCTTCACTATTGGAGGTAAATCAAAAATCACTTCTCCAAAATTCATTTTTATTTCTAGTCTGACGCGACACGGGCGCGTTTCGTAAAACTTATTACATTTTCAAAGACTTCACAAATACACAACTGATTAGAACTTGCGTTTCCCTGGTTTTATATCTACATTTGAGTGAGGTGGGAAGGGTGATGTGGCATTACATTTGAGTAAGGTGGGAAGGATGATGTGGCATTAGAGGATATTAATAGGGTATTAAAAGTATCAACACAAGACAGAACACGAAACAATGGATATTGAATAGAAGTGTTTGTAGAAAGCCTATTGGTCCATATTTCTTGATGCTTCTATATTGGAGCGGAGTCTTGAGGTGGGTAGAATATAGTTGTGCAATAATTGGCTGTTGATTGCTGGTGTTGACTTCTTGATGTGTAGTGCCTCGCAAACGTCGAGCCGCCTGCTATCGCTGTATCTATCGATGATTTCTGTGTTGTTTACTAGGATTTCTCTGGCGATGGTTTGGTTATGGGAAGAGATTATATGTTCCTTAATGGAGCCCTGTTGTTTATGCATCGTTAAACGCCTAGAAAGAGATGTTGTTGTCTTGCCTATATACTGGGTTTTTTGGAGCTTACAGTCCCCAAGTGGGCATTTGAAGGCATAGACGACGTTAGTCTCTTTTAAAGCGTTCTGTTTCGTGTCTGGAGAGTTTCTCATGAGTAGGCTGGCCGTTTTTCTGGTTTTATAGTAAATCGTCAGTTGTATCCTCTGATTTTTGTCTGTAGGGATAACGTTTCTATTAACAATATCTTTCAGGACCCTTTCCTCTGTTTTATGAGCTGTGGACAGCTCTGTTCCGTGCTGCGTTTCACTTACGAGACGGAAAAGGATGGGAAGCTGCCTTTTCTAGATGTAACAGTCATGGAAAAGGGCGGAGGTTTCCACACTGCAGTCTACACAAAGGAAACAAACATAGGAATGTGCCTAAATGCCAACAGCGACTGCCCTGACAGGTACAAGAGGAGTGTTGTTAACGCATACGTCGACCGTGCTCTCAGCCACAGCTCAGAATGGAAGCAAGTCGACGAAGAACTCTGTAGGGTAAGGCAGGTTCTAGTCAATAACGGCTTCTCCAATGGTTTCATCGAAGACATCATAAGAAGGAAAGTGAAAAGCCATGCAACCTCCGAAGAGACAACTAACACAACACCTATACCCCCTATTAGACTATTTTACAGGAACTTCTTTTCCACAGCTCATAAAACAGAGGAAAGGGTCCTGAAAGATATTGTTAATAGAAACGTTATCCCTACAGACAAAAATCAGAGGATACAACTGACGATTTACTATAAAACCAGAAAAACGGCCAGCCTACTCATGAGAAACTCTCCAGACACGAAACAGAACGCTTTAAAAGAGACTAACGTCGTCTATGCCTTCAAATGCCCACTTGGGGACTGTAAGCTCCAAAAAACCCAGTATATAGGCAAGACAACAACATCTCTTTCTAGGCGTTTAACGATGCATAAACAACAGGGCTCCATTAAGGAACATATAATCTCTTCCCATAACCAAACCATCGCCAGAGAAATCCTAGTAAACAACACAGAAATCATCGATAGATACAGCGATAGCAGGCGGCTCGACGTTTGCGAGGCACTACACATCAAGAAGTCAACACCAGCAATCAACAGCCAATTATTGCACAACTATATTCTACCCACCTCAAGACTCCGCTCCAATATAGAAGCATCAAGAAATATGGACCAATAGGCTTTCTACAAACACTTCTATTCAATATCCATTGTTTCGTGTTCTGTCTTGTGTTGATACTTTTAATACCCTATTAATATCCTCTAATGCCACATCATCCTTCCCACCTTACTCAAATGTAATGCCACATCACCCTTCCCACCTCACTCAAATGTAGATATAAAACCAGGGAAACGCAAGTTCTAATCAGTTGTGTATTTGTGAAGTCTTTGAAAATGTAATAAGTTTTACGAAACGCGCCCGTGTCGCGTCAGACTAGAAATAAAAATGAATTTTGGAGAAGTGATTTTTGATTTACCTCCAATAGTGAAGCATAATGTACGAAAGATTGAGAAAATTCGTGTTAGAATTATTAATCTTACTTGTTCGGTCATATTTAATAAAATATGTCTACAGGAAAGACTGCTACCTAATAATATATATATATATATATATATATATATATATATATATATATATATATATATATATATATATATATATATATATATATATATATAGGGGTACCACCTCTGGTGCAATTGCAGGGACGCACATATCTTGAGTTTATCTTGAGATGATTTCGGGGCTTTAGTGTCCCCGCGGCCCGGTCCTCGACCAGGCCTCCACTCCCAGGAAGCAGCCCGTGACAGCTAACACCCAGGTACCTATTTTACTGTTAGGTAACAGGGGGCATAGGGTGAAAGAAACTCTGCCCATTGTTTCTCGCCGGCGCCTGGGATCGAACCCAGGACCACAGGATCACAAGTCCAGCGTGCTGTGCTGTCACATCCTCGATGAAGAAAACAAAGAGCTTTAAGAGAAGACCTTGTGGATTCCCACTTAGGCACGAGTCCAACCTCGGGGCAATTCGAAGAGATGTTTGACGTGCAACAATGACTGAATCTGTCTGTGACATTTATTAATGTATTCCGTTGGTGTGTTTTTCATTTTACCTGTACCAGTCGCGTTGTCGATTCGAACCTAGGCGCCCATGGGTCATTCCACTGTCCATCTATGTGCTAATACCACACGACCATTGATTACTTAGAAATGATGGACGGTCGTTGAATCCACATGCTTCCACATGGGTTCTACCACCATCCACCACCCGGCAGCCCTCGAGGTGGGTATTAGTACAGTTTTTCATCATATCGTTGATCATGCTAGGGGTCGTGTTGACCATGCTAGACTATTAGTTTAAATGGATATTTTCCACAACATATGTGAGAGAAAGCTTGAATGGTTCCCAAGCTTAAATTGCTATACAGTCTCTGACCCATCGGGGATTCGAACTTGGGGCCAGAGGGAAAAGAAGAGAGGTGGAATGGGAGGACGTGGGAGAGATACACTTCCCCGGGCATCGCCGGATACCCCTCCTAATGTTTGTCTCAGTTTGTTTTGTTGTCTGGCAAGGAGTTTAATGGAGTGTTGAGAGACAGGAGAGAGGCCTCTCGAACCCCCTGACCTATTTACTGTTGAAGTTACGACGGAGTTGGGCTGGAAACTACTGAGTCGTCTGAGACAAGCATTTTCACTGTGTTCTTACCTTTGGACCACTTTTTGAAGACGCAATATTGGATAATTGTGAATAATTGGAGTGTTTATTTTAGATTAGTAATAAAAACTATCGGTCAATTTCCCCCAAATATATGACAATTTGAATTTACTATTCTAGACCCATAAACACCTTAACTTCCTGTAGGGGATTGTCCTTCATGTAGCACTTAATCCCACTCTTCTTAGTCAACATTTACACTCTCAGATTGTGTAGCGTCGTGTGTACCCAGGAAATTATCAGGAGAAAGCTCTCAGGATGGATGGAATCACACAAGTGATTCCATCCATCACTTGTATGTAATATAAGGACAGGGAGCTGGGATAGGACGGAGGAAAAGATCGGCGAACAACCATTTGGACCATTAGGGATCGAACGCCGACCTGCAAGAAGCAAGTCTTTTGCTATACCGACGAATCCAAGCGGATGGACACACACGTTCGTATCAAATGACAGCATTTTTTCTCTCACCTGGCTGCCAGATGCCTCTTCCTGCCTCCTAGATGCCTCTTCCTGCCTCCAAGATGCCTCTTCCTGCCTCCTAGATGCCTCTTCCTGCCTCCTAGATGCCTCTTCCTGCCTCCTAGATGCCTCTTCCTGCCTCCAAGATGCCTCTTCCTGCCTCCTAGATGCCTCTTCCTGCCTCCTAGATGCCTCTTCCTGCCTCCTAGATGCCTCTTCCTGCCTCCTAGATGCCTCTTCCTGCCTCCTAGATGCCTCTTCCTGCCTCCTAGATGCCCACACCTGGCTGCCAGATGCCTCTTCCTGCCTCCTAGATGCCTCTTCCTGCCTCCTAGATGCCTCTTCCTGCCTCCTAGATGCCCACACCTGGCTGCCAGATGCCTCTTCCTGCCTCCTAGATGCCCACACCTGGCTGCCAGATGCCTCTTCCTGCCTCCTAGATGCCTCTTCCTGCCTCCTAGATGCCTCTTCCTGCCTCCTAGATGCCCACACCTGGCTGCCAGATGCCTCTTCCTGCCTCCTAGATGCCCACACCGGGCTGCTAGATGCCTCTTCCTGCCTCCTAGATGCCCACACCTGGCTGCCAGATGCCTCTTCCTGCCTCCTAGATGCCCACACCGGGCTGCTTGATGCCTCTTCCTGCCTCCTAGATGCCCACACCGGGCTGCTAGATGCCTCTTCCTGCCTCCTAGATGCCCACACCGGGCTGCCAGATGCCTCTTCCTGCCTCCTAGATGCCCACACCGGGATGCTAGATGCCTCTTCCTGCCTCCTAGATGCCCACACCGGGCTGCTAGATGCCTCTTCCTGCCTCCTAGATGCCCACACCGGGCTGCCAGATGCCTCTTCCTGCCTCCTAGATGCCTCTTCCTGCCTCCTAGATACACACACCTAGATACCCACCACCACATACATTAATAATTCTAACACGAATCTTTCCAATATTTCTAATGTTTTTCTTCACTGTCGGTGGTAATAAAAATATCAATTCATTACCACCGACAGTGAAGAAAAATATAAGAAATATGGAAAAGTTTCCCGTTAGAATTATTAATCTTACTTTTCCGGCCATATTCAACAACATATATAATATATGCCCGGTGTGGGCATATATTAACATACAATGTAATAAATGAAAAGAAAATACTTAAAGACGTTTCCAGATAATTGATGCTACAGACTCAGCACCGAAGATCAAACACGTGATGGCAGACACAGTGTGGACTCACCCAGAAATTGAGATAATGTAAATATTACTTACTCAGGCGTCGTTGTATCATCGCAAGGAACGGCACATAAAGTTAATATTAAAGTCTCTCCTAGTTCTCAATTGCCTCATAACATTATGACACACAATATCACTAAGAAAATATACACTTGACAAGGACCATCTATATAATTGTGACAACTTGTTCCTCGATAGACCTCGAGGAATATTGGGTTATTTACTTTTCATCATAATACAGAGTAAGTGCACAGCCAAGTGAATATATTATCATTGGAGACTTACACGTCTATGAATAGTGTATGATATTATTAGTGATGAAAAACTACATATACGAGCAGCCGTGTTAAATATTATTTATATAGAGAAATAATAAATAGTAATGTTAAATTTAAATCTATTTAAAGACATTGTCTATGCATTAACATGAACGATAATATTCAAAAGATAAAGGCCACGATAAGCTTAATCAGAGTTACTAAAAATAAAAAAATAACAATTAAACACATGTGAGTCAAATGTTTTGTGACTACTAAAGTGTGACAAAAGTTATCAAGTGTTGGGAAGTTGTCAAACTTCCAGTGGGAACTCGGCACTGTATTCTGACCGCCCATTTCCCACTCGTGCTTGGATCCAGCCAGACTGTTCTGCTTCGTGAACTTTCCCTCTCTGTGGGGGAAGAGCTTTCTCTTCTCCTAAGAAATTGTTGTGTCTTACACTACAAGATTCCTACACAGTTGTTGGAGGAACGTTGTCTGGTGTGCCCACGTGATGGTAATTCCAAGACCCCCGTGGGTACATTACCTGCATCTTCCTACTTTCTTATTTCGGGAAAAAGGCAGCAACGAGAGAGAGGTTGTTCCATTGCAGAAGTCTTCTTAAAACAACGTCCCGATTGGACTTGTGTTCGATTCCTGGTCAAGAACTGACGTCTGGGAATATTTATTCTTCCTTCCATTGTTTCTAATCTCTTCCTACTCCTGTTTCTTCTCCACATCACACATATCCTTATTATCTTTATTATACTATATTTATATACTTTATTTATATTGTTGGTTCTCACAAACCTCTAGCTTTAGCAGCCGGTCAACCAGCCAGCCAGCCAGCCAGCCAGCCAGCCAGTCACCCAGCCAGCCAGCCAGCCAGCCAGCCAGCCAGCCAGCCAGCCAGCCAGCCAGCCAGCTCTCCAGCCAGCCAGCAAGCCAGTCACCCAGCCAGCCAACCAGCTCGCCAGCCAGCCAGCCAGACAGCCAGCCAGCCAGACAGCCAGCCAGTCAGCCAGCCAGTCAGCCAGAGAGCCAGCCAGACAGCCAGCCAGCCAAAGAGCCAGCTAGCCACGAAGCCAGCCAGCCAGCAAGCCAGTCACCCAGCCAGCCAACCAGCTCGCCAGCCAGCCAGCCAGACAGCCAGACAGCCAGACAGCCAGCCAGAGAGCCAGCTAGCCACGAAGCCAGCCAGCCAGCCAGCCAGCCAGCCAGCCAGCCAGCCAGCCAGACAGCCAGCCAGCCAGCCAGCCAGACAGACAGCCAGCCAGCCAGTCAGCCAGAGAGCCAGCTAGACAGGAAGCCAGCCAGCCAGCCAGCCAGCCAGTTAGCCAGTCAGCCAGCCAGTCAATAACGAGCCAGCCAGCCATTGCGCAGAATGAGCTGCCTGTGTATTGCCGCCATAACTCTCAGATATATTGGTGTTCAAGAGCCGAGGAAGGATTAAATGCACCTTGGAGCTCACCCTGTGCGTCAAATTCTATTAAAGGGGACCCATGGTCTCTCTCTATACATGCGTCAACTATAAACACACTTTGCGGAATTTATATTTTCCAGATAATCGTGTTGGGTGAACGATCGAAGAACAGCTTATACTCATTCACTTTAGGTGGTTGATACGTTGATGGTCTTGCTTCTTGCAGGTCTGCGTTCAATTCCCGATGGTGCAAGTGGTTGGACATCGTTCCTTGGATTCATCCTGTCCTAAATCATTATCCTCCCTATCCCTTCCTAGTGCTGTATAATCGTAATTGCTTTGCGATTTCTCCTGATAAATACAATATCAATACAATCAATAGCTTTTATTGATTTTGTTGTGTATTGATTCGCCATTGAATTATTTTAATATTTAAATGTCAATATTAATTATTTACAATATTATAAATTTATACATCGTTTACTATGAGCTAAGGACAGCTAAAAATTAACAGCTAAAATAATATGAGCATTTCAGTCACTGACGAAGTGGGAGGAAGTTCTAAACATCAGGAGAATTACCCAAACATTCAACAATAGTCGTAAAACTGGGCATAACTATCCTGGTAAAATAACCTCTTGGCTGGATAAAACAAGAGCCAGCCGCACATTGTTCCCCAAACAGTTACTCCCTGGTGGGAGGGACAGGCGGAGAGGGAAGGGGGAATGGTCATTTTATTGGGCAAGGAACGAAAGACTTGAAATTGCGGAAAAGAGAGAAAGAGAGAGAGAGAGAGAGAGAGAGAGAGAGAGAGAGAGAGAGAGAGAGAGAGAGAGAGAGAGAGAGAGAGAGAGAGAGAGAGAGAGAGAATGTGAGAGTGAAAATGGGAGTGAGTGAGGGAGATAGATGAACAGACAGAGACCCCGGGCATCACCGGGTACCCCATCTATCTATGCAACAGTACGTCAGTTTGCTTGTCTGTCAATCCATCAAGCCAGATGCTTGAGGCTAGTCTCACACAACTTTGTTTGGCTATTGGTGATTTTATGGAGATTCTCACAGGGTAATCAGGGTCGGCTCCTAGTCCATCTCTGAAGGGGCAATCGGCTTTTGCACCCACTTCACAAAGTCAGATGATAAGAAATGTGCAACCGAAAATCCATAGAGTTTGAAAACCAAATTTGTTTAATATTAACGAATTCAGATTTTGATATGCAAAACAAATATTTAGATGACAGGTTTGTCCTGAATATTAGTTTAATTGGTTTAATTGACAGCACTAGTGAAAAATCTCTGGTTCTCTATCAACCGGATCATTGGTGCCAAATAAATGCATAGTGTGGGCAGTATATTGGTTTGTGGGTAAAGTGTGTAGATAGTGTGTGTGTGTGTACGAGATATTTGCGTGGTTGGTGTGTAGTGTGAATGCATAGTTGGTGAGGCTGGTACCTGGGTGAGGAGTATGTGGGTAGTGTGGAGGTAGATAGCATGTGTAAACTCCACCAGGTATCACAGACAGCTCGATAAATCCCACTATGATGATTGGTATAAATCTCTGTTACCCGCGAACAATGTCTGGTGAAGAATGAACTTGTGCTCCATTACTCAAAGAATTCTACTCGCGTGTACACGCTATTTATCATCCTCAGAAAATGTATATATGCTGGATAGCATTGTAAATATGTGGCAACGTCTGTGGCAGAAAATAGTAAAAAAAAAAAAAACATAGTCAACGCATTAGCTCGGAGTTTACACAGGCGAATAACGATCTTATACATGTCGATGGTTAAACACGCACCACAGCCTGAAAAATTTCACTTAAATATAATAGGGCTTTTGGAACAAATTGAGAAGTAATTAATAGTTATGATCTGAAGCTAAAACAACTAACCATTGTCGTTTATCTAACGTTGTTAATGTGAAGAGAGCACCATTGACGTGGGGGCGAGACTGTATTATGAAGACTAAATATTTTTATTAAGGGTTCATGAGCAGGATTGCAATGGTCTTTTCACTAAGCAAGTTACGGTGATGACTAACTATTAGTGATGAGTAATAGCTGCTTAAGCTGATAGTCTTGTGTACTCGCATTACTATATTCACACATATACTAATCTGAAGACAGTTGAGAGGCTTGACCAAAGAAATTAAGCTCAACCTCCGCAAGCACAACTAAATGAGTACAACTAGATGAGTACATATTCATAGTATTCATGTATGAAAACCGGCATTCGTATGTCTCTAAAAAATTTATCATTTATTATTATTAATTTATCATAACATTTATCATACAGACACACATATCTCTCCCGCCTCAAACCCCCACATCAAAGAATAAATATATATATATATATATATATATATATATATATATATATATATATATATATATATATATATATATATATATATATATATAAATTATTTACAAATATATGTTAAATGTTTATTGTGTAAATGTTTACCGTAGCGTCATTGTAATCTGCAAACTTGATCAGATTCTATTGCGTTACTAGTTGTATTATCCATAGTGTATTTCTGCGACCTTTGTGTATTGTCTATTGTGTATTGTCTATTGTGTATTTCTGCATCAGTGTGTGTGTGTGTGTGTGTGTGTGTGTGTGTGTGTGTGTGTGTGTGTGTGTGTGTGTGTGTGTGTGTGTGTGTGTGTGTGTGTGTGTGTATATCTGTGTTTGCGCGCGCGGGCATACATGCGTGCGTGTGGGTGTGTTTGTGAGTGAGTACGTATGGTGTTCATAAACTAAAACTTCGATCTCCGACATGCGTGTTCCGCCTTTCAAATCGGTCTGGAGTCACACGCAACACACCTCCACCTTCCGTGATTGTGGTCGTGTGTGTATCTACTGAAGTGCCTACCTGTGCATACTGGAAGCGAGATCTAGCTCTTGAGTCCCGCCTTTTATAGCTACTAGTAATGGTCGCATACATTCTTCCAGCGATTTCAGACCTCATTTGAAATCTTCTCTAGAAGATGTAAATGCATTTGACCTCTACCACCTCCTCTCCTCTTACTTCATGCACCAGAAAGTTTACGTAATCAACCTCAACGTAAGAGTTACGGTGGTTTGGTGATATTAAAATAACAATAAAGCTACAAAACTGAAGCTTAACGAGGCTAATTAGCAACTGCCACGATTGGTTAAGTGAGGTGCTTAGGTCTGCACTATTCTGATTGCTACATCTTAGTCCTTCTCTTCTGGATCTTGTAAGAGTCTCTGGTATATCGGACTGCCTTGCAGGCGACGAGTCACACTATCGTGGCTAAAGTATGTTGACCAGACCACACACTAGAAGGTGAAGGGACGACGACGTTTTGGTCCGTCCTGGACCATTCTCAAGTTGATTGTCGTCGTCCCTTCACCTTCTAGTGTGTGGTCTGGTCAACATATTGTACTGCCTTCTTCATTTCCGGTCCCTTCTTCAGAATCTCATAACATTGCATGAGACCGGAATGAATTCTAGAAACCGTTGGTTGGGTTGATACATTCAGTATGTTCGCTTTAGATACTCAAGTTGTAGTTGTAGATCCTCCAATCTGTAGATTTAGTGACTCCAATATGTAGATTTAGATACTCCAATATGTAGATTTAGATACTCCAGTGTGTAGCCTTAGATACTCTAGTATGTAGTTTTAGATACTCCAATATGTAGATTTAGATACTCCAGTATGTAGATTTAGATACTCCAGTATGTAGCTTTAGATATTCCAGTATGTAGCTTTAGTACTCCAGTAAGTAGATTTAGATACTCCAGTGTGTATCTGTAGATACCCCAATATGTAGCTTTAGATACCCCAATATGTAGCTTTAGATACTCCAATATGTAGCTTTAAATATTCCAGTAAGTAGCTTTAGATACTCCAATATGTAGGTTTAGATACTCCAATATGTAGCTTTAGATACTCGATTCTCATTCAGTCTTCTCCAGTTTTTTCAGTAGTCTAACGTCTGAAAATTTGCTAATGTTCTCAAATGATTGTGTTATGGAGTCGACTTTCAGCTCTTAAACGTCTCAACAGTTGATGTTAACAAATTGATTTCTTATTATATATATATTTCAAATTGATAGCTTCGAACACTTCTTCATAAAATGAATTTAATTTATTTAAGACGTGCCGAAAAATGTCTTAAATCTGGATCTCTGTGAGACATTTGGCACTTTTTGTGTATTTTTCGGTGCTTCGGAAATGGCTTTTCCGGTTAATTGGTCAACATTCTGGAGGAATATTGACCAAACTACACGTCTTTCTCTAGGATCTTACTGGCAGAGGAACCCAGCGGTGCGCGGGTCTCTGTCAGTTTTTCTTTATCTCATCCTTCCTCTCATTCATTCGCCCTCTCTCACTACCGTTCTCCGTCTCTGACATTCTCTCTCCTTCCTATTTTTCCTCCCAACCTCAGACGCCCTCCCTAACTATCTCAGTCTCTCTCCCTCTCATTCTCTCTCTTTCTCTCCTGTTCCTTTTTCCCAGTGTGCAAACCAGGCTTGAGTAAAGCTGAATCAACATTATCGATGTTGATTTAACGTCGATAACAGGGGAAACACTGGGAAATACTCTATGGACTATCAACCCCACATTTCATACTTCGAAGGAATCGCTAGAATTCAGAATAGATGTCGATCATTTTTAAAGAAAGGCATAGAGGTCGACCCCCAACAGGCTATGACTCTCGCCATATAATTACAAATCACCCAGCAAAATTTAGTGAGGCTGGCCACAAGCGTCTGGCTCCCAACCTCGAACAAACAATATAGATATCACATAATAATATCTCACCTGTTGGTTATTTATAACAACGTGGAGAGGTCCAGTTTCCTGTCTTTATTCATAGCTCAGTCCCCTTTAGGAAGGTGTGTACTTGTGCTCACCTATTTGGGGGAGGGGGGGAGGAGGGTCGAAATTTGGCTCTTCAATCGTCAATCAATTGGTGTACAGGTTCCTGAGCATATCGGTTTCTATCGTATCTAGATATGAAGCTGTGTATGGAGTCTGTTTCTATTACATAACTTCCTAATGCATTCCATTCCATTTGCGTGCGCACACGCCAGCGAGTATATTTGTCCTTCCCAACACAAACAGAAATAACAACTATGACAACTAAGAATAGCTCGACGACTCCCGCCAAACATAAATATACTGTAAATACATACAGTATTTTTAATTCAATAATACGCTCGCTTTGCCACGAGGCAAAATAATCTACGGCCGGAACAATCCAGGTTTCACTTACACAAGAGAATATAAAGTACCGCTGGAATTCTATATACTGTATTAGAATCGCCAAAAAATGTTTGTTTTAATGATCCATTGTCAAGCCAGGCCTTGTGACCCGCAGTCAATGGGGGGTCGGAATAGGGGTAGGGGGGTTAAATATGGGTAGGTCGTGCGCCAGGCAGGGGAGTTCACCAAGGCAGTGAGAGAGTATGAATGATTCTGTTACGGGCAGGAGCGATCAGATGCCACTGACTCTCAATGTCGGATTAACTGCTAACGAAGGGGTTTTTGAGACAGTAATTCCTTTTTTGGCTTTTATACATATTTCTCAAAGAAAATTGAAATAACGTGTATCGGTAATGAGTTTAAAAGCTTTATATATGAATTTGAAAAGCTTTATATTTTTATAAACATAAATTTAAAACAAGTGTTGTCTTGAATTCAACAGCTTACAGACGTATTACAAAATTATATTAAAAAATAGAATCACAAATATAATTTATTTGTTAATTTTGGCCTAAGTTGTATACCGCAGTTCAGGACTCATTAGTGGCTGTTTCATGTCTCTACAATGGGCAGTTCAGTGATCCTTGGCCTCGTCTCAAGATCCTGCCCCATCCATCACCGATGGTTTGGTGTAATTCGAGCCAAGACGAAGGAAACCTTTCTTGTCCTCAACATGTTTCTTGTGGTCACGCCCCCTCCAACCTAGGCAGCCAATGACCGTCGAGCTCCGCCCAGCACGCGCCGCCCATTGGTTGTTTCCCTCGAGATCAATATGGCGCCGTTCCACGTCCTTCGTTTCTCTTTCTGAAGAAGAGCTGCAGAAATATTCACCCTCGTACGTTCACTATTGATCGGTTAAATCTTCCTCCTTTCAACTTGAAGCAGAAATCTAGCTTCCGTCTACAGGTGATTTGTCTCAGGTGACGAAGAAGAGAAAAACGGAAGGAGATAACTGTTACAAGGGGTTGTAGTGGTTGGTACTGGGTGGAGGTAGGGCTTGTGGGAGCGGCGGCCTGGGCGGGAGGCAGGTGCGGCCGTAACGATCCCGGCCTGGCCAACAGAGTGAGCCGCCTTGACGGTGTGCGTTGGCGGTACACCTGTACTTATAGTTGAGCGCTCGGCCGCTAGGTGGCAGCGTTATCGCGCGTGGTTGTCGATTGGCGGGCAAAGCAGGCGCGGGAGCGTGGATCAGGCCTTCGAAGGGAACCTACACACCGGCACCCTTGAATCCTGGTCAACCTGGAGCCACAGGAAGTCACCAGCACTATTTCCGGGCACAAAAACGCTTCTCTGTCGTAAGAGGACGTTCGAAGAAGGTCCACAACGTGAGAAAAGTTGGTGGAGAGGACGCCAACGCCGGCAGTCGCCAGATACCTCTGCCAAGTGAGACTCGCAAGGCTGCCAGCGCCATTGATTCCTGGTTCCAGGACATGACTACCCCGTCATGGTCGCACCGTCGGTCCAGCTGAGCGAGTTTTCCCTGTGAACATTTAGTGCCTCAGACCCCCACCCTCCCACCCACCCCTCCCTTGCGCTCGCCTCCTGCTGAATGTTTTCTCTGGTGCTTGTGCTCTGGTGTGTCCAGGTAAATGTGCGGCCTAGGGTTTAGACTCAAGAACACCCCCTCGAAGAAGACGTCCCTGCGCTGGGGCGACTGTTGTGGGCGAGGTGCCGTAGCGAGCTCCAGCTCCCGCCTCCAGGAGGGGATATGACTGGCCGCGTCTCTCCCACCTAGCCGTCTTCGCCGGGTGCACCTTCAACACCGTCTCTCTTCGTGCCACTGAACTTGTTCTCCTCCTCGTTCGGTCTTGACCGCCACCTTCAGCGTGATCCTCCCCCGAACTGGGTCAAGTCTTCCAACTGAAGTTGTTTCTCACGTGTGAACTCTGTACAGGTGACAAAGGTAACTGGAAACTACTTAAAAAAAATCGAAGAACGCAAGAATTATTATTTTTCTTATATGAACAAAAAAAATCGACTATTTTCAATCATCGAAGTTTTATAACCGATTTGAAAAATAAAAAACTATATTTTGAACAAAATACATAATAATCTACTTTGTGTACATCAAGAAAAACTGTCTCTTAAGCATCCCAAGGTAAGAAATATTATGATCTTGCATGATTATATGATTGTGCTTACAAGGAGGGGGGTAAGTGGAGGGGGGTAAGTGGAGGGGGGGGATGGGCTGAATGGTGAGGGCGGGTGAGAAGACTAAGAGGGGGGAAACAGGCTGCCAGGTGAGGGGAGGGGGGGAATGAGACATACTGTCTGTGGTGGACAGAACGGGATACAGGTGGGGAAATGGAAGGAGAGGGACAGGGTGGGGGAGGGAGACTGGCGGGCTGGGATAGTGGGGACGTCAGCCGGGTTGGTGGGTGGGAGGGGACGGGGGCCGAGAGAGAGAGAGAGAGAGAGGCAAGTGCGTGGGAGAGGAGTCAGGCGCGAGGGAAGGAGCTGGCTGGGTGGTGTGGGAGAGAAGGTTAACCTAATGCATTGTGCTCCCAGAATTTAAATGAAAAAGGCTGTGGGTATGATTTAAATGCTAATTCGCCAAAGTTTGCCTGGAATAGTTTTGCCCTTAGTCAAGGGCGTGCATGTGGGTGGTTGTTGGCGTCATTGTAGACATGAGGGGGGTGGTTGCTGACGTTAGTGGTGGTAGGGGGGAGGGTGCATGTTGGTGGTTATAGGTGTTCGTGTCGATTGATGCCAGCGGGTTTGCATGTTAGTGGTTCTTGGTGTCAGTGTGGTCATGTGTGTGGGTGTCTGCCCGGGTTAGTGTGGGCGTATATATTGATGGTTGTTGGCGTCTGTGTGGGCGTACATGTGCTTGGCTGTTTGAGGGCATAAAATGTAAGTTACTTGAAGTGTCACTGCGCATGTGTTGGCACCTAGGGAGGGGAAAGGACAAGAGGACACGTGATGGAAAATCCCTTATTCACTTTGGATTTGGTATAAGACCAAAATATAATGGAGTTGATAGTCCTTAGTCATCTGCCTCATTGCCTCGGTGAGGAGGGAGAGCGGGGAGCGGTGGGGAGGGGGCAAGTGAGGCTTCGTAGTAGTATCTCACCATCCTTATTATAGGAAGGAGAGAGAGGGGGGGGGGGTAGGAAAGAGCAGCTGGTTTGCCATGGTAGCTCTCCCTCTCTCTCTCTTTTTCTCGACACAAAACCATGACAGGATGGCTCTTACGTCAAAGCAATCCATTAGAGAGAAAGAGCCTTCATATCCTCATAGCACTGTAGTACTGCCAGTAACCATATCCTTTAGATTTCAACACAACACCATCATAAGCCCAAGTCTCTCCAGGCTCTTGTCTCACCTCAGCACAACTTTTATACAAAGAAGTGGGGTGAACTGTTATTTTCACACTGTGAGAGCTCCCTCTTATCTCTTACCAAAAATATATATTATCATATATTTTTGGTATTAAATTATATATATATATATATATATATATATATATATATATATATATATATATATATATAATCATATATCTTATCACCTAGTCATCTGCTCTTTTTTTTTTGCTTCATTTCCAGTTTACTTGACTCTCTTTCTTTGGTAACTCCTCTACCATCTTATTGTATCTCAAGTTAGCTGATCTCGAAGCCCTTCAAATAATAAAAATACTACGAATGACCGGGGCCCAGATGGTGTTCCAGGGGTCACTAAGCTTTCACCCACGTAAATATGTCAATTTTGTCAATATGTGTCTTCTGATATGTTCTATTACTCTTGGAAAGACGCTGTTGATCAATATGTCTCGGATAACGGTAGTCTTTCTAATCTCTTTAACTATCAGTTGGAAGCCACAGGATCTCTAGAGGATTCAGCCGAATAACAGGTTGTATTGGTATTGACCATGTCGTAGTGTAGTGATCTAAGGCGTTTGCTTGGGAGCACTCAGAGCATAGGTTCGAATCCTCTTTATGGCTCCTAATTTTCTCATTGATTCATCACGTTAATGTGACTTCTTCGTGCAGGATTAGAATATTGCTATCATTTTTTACTCTCTTACAAACGCCTAAATCTATAATAAGTATTATTATTAAAAAGTTTCTTAAATACGGGAATTTTGTTGTATGGTCTCAATATGGCCACTTCAACTATTGATCTATCCAACCATAAGAAGACAAAATACAGTAATCTATTGAGGGTATGTATGCCAATGGCAGGTAGCTCCATTTATTTACTTCCAATCACTATCATTTATGCAACTGGTCTAACCGATGCTTTAAATTTTACAGTGAATTTACTTCAGTGGTGAAACTTAGTAAATTTCTCAATATATGTCACTCTATTCTCAAGCTAGTGAACTGTAAGTGGTATCCCACAAAGGAAAGATAAAGCCAAAGAATAACAATGTTATTCCAATCTTTTTTAGGCAAATCCTATTTCCTTACTAGTTCTCATTTCGAACATTTATCAATGGATTTCTTGATTTTATGTCCATGCGGACAATAACTTCCAGATTATTTCCACTATAAGATTTGACAATTTCAATATTAATTATTTTATATCTGATCCTCTATTTTATTTTTTCAGGTTTATTCAATTTTTTCAGTCCATTTGGAGTGTTTAAAGTGTTCTAAATCATATCTGACCGTTTAGTTTCAGTTTATTACAGTTTTTTTTTGTGTCATTAGTTCAAGTTCAAGAATGAACTATTGTTATTCACTACTACATCTAAACCATTTATGTGCATGATGAACACAAGAGGTCACAGGTGAACGTCCAGGGCACTCCACCTATGACTGTTACCCCTTATGCTTTTAATCTGCTTCCTGTGCCTTAACCATGTCCTGATCTAGTGTAGGAAGTTCCCTCCATTACCGTGTTTCACTCTTCCATATCAATATTACGCGTGGAACGGTGGTGAACTGTTAGCCTTAATAAAGTACATTTATATGTTAAATTAATCTTTATCACGACTTAAAGTATGTTGGACAAGCACGTATGAATATTTGGTCTTGAAACAAGAGGTGATGCTCTATATCCTGAAGCAGTGTTATTATTGTCTAGTATGTTAAGTTTCCATGACAGATCAGGCTGTAATATAGTAATTGCAAACTAGAAGGTGAAGGGACGACGACGTTTCGGTCCGTCCTAGACCATTCTCAAGTCGATTGTCTTGTCACAGTCGACTTGAGAATGGCCCAGGACGGATCGAAACGTCGTCGTCCCTTCACCTTCTAGTGTGTGATCTGGTCAACATACTTTAGCCACGTTATTGTGACTCATCGCCTGCATACTAATTGCAAACTGGAGTTTGAGATACGAATTGTCAAAATAGAGCTTGTAATAAGCCAGCGTTTATTTTAATGTTAGTGACCTAAGATTTCGTTGAATTCGAAGTCATTATTACTGACTCCGAATGCAGGAAAGGCAGTGTGAATTAAATATTAGTGAAGTGATATTCTTCAATTGACATTTTGTTATCAATATTCTCCATTCCACTTTGACTCTGCACTCTGCAACACACTTCCGTTACACTCAGTCTTCACTTGATGCTCGCTTGTTGCAGTCTTGATCTCTTAAGTCTGATCTTAAATAATCTTCCTTTGGAGCACTTGCATTTCAGGAAAATTTAATTTACCTACCGCATAACTTGAGGAAGGTAGAGTGGGAGGAAAAGAAGAAGAAATGAAGTCAGTGAAGTAACGAGTAAGGGAAAGATTGAGAGAGGAAAAGAGTGAAGGAAGGATTGAGGGAGGGACTGAGTGAATGGAGTAAGAGAGAGAGAGAGAGAGAGAGAGAGAGAGAGAGAGAGAGAGAGAGAGAGAGAGAGAGAGAGAGAGAGAGAGAGAGAGAGAGAGAGAGAGAGAGAGAGAGAGAGAGAGAGAGAGGTCTATCTAGCACTGATTAGTCTAACTCTTCCCCCCGGAAAGAGTTAGATCTTCTAACCCCCTTAGTTAGACGAGTTAGACCCCCTTCCCCAATCTAGCTGCAGATTGAGGAAGGTTCTTAACAGGGACAAAGAGTAAATCAGAAACTACATTAGCTGTAACAACATATACACTGCATGGATAGCTCTCAAACTGCATTAAGAAAGAACAAATAGCCATTGCATGAACACAAATCACATAGATTTTTGTTCCATGAGGAACTCGATCTCCAAGACTCCATTTTCCGCGGGAGAAAGGTGAATGTGTGTGTGTGTGTGTGTGTGTGTGTGTGTGTGTGTGTGTGTGTGTGTGTGTGTGTGTGTGTGTGTGTGTGTGTGTGTGTGTGTGTGTGTGTGTGTGTGTGTGTGTGTGTGTGTGTGTGTGTGTGTGTGTGTGTGTGTGTGTGTGTGTGTGTGTGTGTGTGTGTGTGTGTGTGTGTGTGTGTGTGTGTGTGTGTGTGTGTGTGTTTAAGTATGTTCATGTGTACATACATTCAGCACGACCAGTAAAATAAACAATTAAATAACCTATTAAATTGATCGTTTCGCGATACAAAAATCAACGTGCTTCATTTATATGCTTCATTTTGTCGCTAGTTTCACAAATACTTTAAATTAACTATGAATAAGTGTTAGTTTACAAACTAGGTAGTTTCACGAAGCAACGGAAATAATATCTTACCTTAAATTTGGTTACAAATATAGCCTTTTATTTCGAAATTTTATCATAAATCTCAAAATTAATTCATCACCCCTTGAGAGAAATCCACGGGGCTTGTGGGTGAAACCATTGCATTAAAATGAGAACAGGTAAAGCCTTCTGGAAATGGCTGACACTATAAGACTGACCAAACCCTCATGGATTCCTACTGAGCCCGTGTGAGACACAGCTAAATACCTCCCAGGCGCTTTAAATCCCCGGAAGACTATCCAAATGCTTCCGAGAGCAGGTAAACAGCTTTCCAACACTTCATGGGTCTCACTGTGGGCAGTCCAACCATTCTACGATTCGTCTAATGCCCCCTCCTTTTTCTGGTAACTGAATCGTGGTGGTAATGCTGGTGGCAGTGTTGATGCTGGTATTGATGTCGTAATGTTGGTGGTAGTCGTGATAGTAGTATTGATAGTGGTGATTGTAGTGTTGAGGGAGGCTGTGGAAGTAGTGGTGATGGTGGTTGTGGTGGTAGTGATGGTGCTGGCACTAA